GGGGAGAAGGGCAGGGGGTCGGCGGCCCGGCGGGGGAGGCGCGGTGACGGCCGCCTCTTCCCTCGCAGGCCACCCCCCCGGCCCCGGAGGAGGCGGCGGCGGGCGACGGCGGGCGGGGGGACAGCGACGCCGAGTCCCTGCCCGAGAAAAAGGCCCTGCGGAGCAAAAAGAACCCCCCCCCCGGGAAGGCGCCCGGCGGCACGGGGACGCCGGGTAGCAGAAAAGGTACAGCGGTGCCGGTCGAGTGCCCCACATGTCATAAAACCTTCCTCAGCAAATATTGCCTTAAAGTGCACAACAGGTAAACGCTCCGACTTTTCCTTCCCCTTGCGTTCGCGCGTAGGCACCTGCGCTGCGAGGCTCTGCTCCTTCCCACCCTCTCTTCCACGGGGTGGGGGGCGGTGGGCGATCGGCCCCACTTGCGGCCAGCTGGTCTCAACGCCTCAGTGTCCCCTGGGATGGAAAAGGAGGTCCCCTCTGTCCCCTGGGCTGGGGCCGCTTTGAGCCAGGGTGGCTGTGGGGGAGTTGTACAGCTCCGAAACCGTTCTGAGAGCCACAACGGCTGTCCCGGGCTTCCGCTCCTCGGGGGTCAGCGCCAGCCTGCCTCAAAAAGGCGGCGTTGAGGGGCTGTTCTAGGGGACATGCCGGCTGCGGGTGGGCGATGGCAAATGGTCCTACTGGGCTTTCAGAATCGGCATGGGCTGTGGGGCAATTTGCCTGGGTTGTGGGGAGTGCGCCGGCATGGCCGGGTGCTGCGAGGAGCCTGGGGGTTGATAATCAGGAGCAAAGTGGGTGCCTGCAGAGAGAGCGCGAGCTCCAGCTGCACTCTTCTGCGAGGGGAGAACCTTAGCCCTGCGAAACTGAGGTTTCGTGGAGCATAGCGGGCGCCAACAGCTTGATGGGATCCGCAAAGCTGGCATAAAAGGTGGCTTTTGGGCAGCTGTGAATATTGGTGCTGGGGGGGGGGAGGGTAGAAACTGCCTGGTCCTTCCCTCTCCCTTCCCAGTGTCCTCGCTGGGCCCGCTCGTGCATCTCTGCTGTGGGACCAGCAGTGACGGACACTCTCCTTTTGTCTTACCCCTAGGAAACACACTGGAGAAAAGCCATTTGAATGTTCCAAATGTGGCAAATGTTATTTCAGAAAAGAGAATCTCCTGCAACACGAAGCCAGAAATTGCATGAACCGATCTGAGCAGGTACGGCCAGGAAGCTGCGGTCTGGAAAGCAGGTGCCGTTTTGCAGGAGTGGAATTAGAGCCTTTCTCCAGCCATAGCCCCCCCCAAGTCCACTGCCAATGAGGATGGCAGCAGCTTTTGTCCAATTTACCACACAACTCTCATTTTGTCTGTTTTTTTTCAAGCGCGCGAGGATACTCTGTACCGTGAAAGATCCAGGTTGCTGCCAGTGCGGGTCTGAGCTGCGGGCTTTGCGTTGGACTCTCGGTTCGGCAGAAGCTGATGCTTCCCCCCTCTCTTGCAGGTTTTCACGTGTTCGGTCTGCCAGGAGGTGTTCAAGAGGCGAATGGAGCTGCGGCTGCATATGGTGTCACACACAGGGGAGATGCCATACAAGGTGAGCAGTGCCTGCCTCTGACGACCCTACGAGTGGCTCCATGCTGGTGCGAAGAAAGGGGGGGGTGAGCGTCCTGTTTTGGGGCAGCCTGGCCCAGCCCGGCAGGGGAAAAGAGCACACTGGCTCCCTTCCCTTGTCCGTGGCAGCCTGCTGAGGGTCGTTCCCCATCTCTGAGCCAGAACGTGCTCCAGGGAGAGACCAAAGCCAGGCGCTTTCTGTGGTCTTACCAGGGATTCGTGTTCCATGTCAGAACGGCACTCCCCTGCCCGTTGCGCCAGCGCGCTGCCGGGCCTCTCCTTGCGCCAAAATCACTGTTTGGCGCTTGCTGGAAGCTGACCCTCCTCTCCTGTGTTTCAGTGCTCCTCCTGTGCCCAGCAGTTCATGCAGAAGAAGGACCTGCAGAGCCACATGATAAAGCTGCATGGCGCGCCAAAGCCCCATGCGGTAAGGGAGCAGGTGGGCGGCGGTGGGGTTTTGGGAGGGAATTAGCCTGTGCTCAGGCCTGGCCTAAGGAATGGCGCCTGTCATCCTGTCTGGCTCTTTTTAGCAAGGCAGGAAGTTACAGAGCTGCTGGAAGTAGTTTTTTGGGAACAGGAGCAGTCCTCGTCATTTTTTTGGCTGACAGACCCAAGTACTGACCAGCATTTTGCCTTTGTCAGACCGTCTCGTCTTGTTAGGCATTTTGGAGCTGGGGGTGCTGCCACAGCTGGCCGCAGGCAGAGCCCCAAAGCAGCAGCGGCAGGCAGAGGGAGGGGTCTTGGGCAGCGAGCGGGTCTGTTGCGGGCATACGCCGTGAACCGTGCCCGGGCGAGCTGCCTAACCCTGCGCTCTCCTGTGGCCTTGCAGTGCTCGACCTGCTCCAAGTGCTTTCTGTCTCGGACAGAGCTGCGCCTGCACGAGGCCTTCAAGCACCGGGGAGAGAAGCTGTTTGTCTGCGAGGAGTGTGGGCACCGGGCCTCGAGTCGCAACGGCCTGCAGATGCACATCAAGGCCAAGCACAGGTATGACGTAACCTGTGTCCTCTCCTGCATCGCCCTGGCTCTCCTGGTTGCGCTTCCTCCCCCGAGGGCCCAGCTGGGTGGTGCTGGGAAGAGGGGCTGGCTGGAAGGCGGCAAGCACCCCCTTCCCCAAGGTGCCAGGCCGAAGCTTCTGCCAGAAATCTGGTGAGGGGCCAACCGGTGTTTTGCTTTTCTCTCTTCCAAAGGAAGTGCAGACCGTTGGCACTTTCTGTGAGCGTGCGGTCATAGCAATACAGGTGATGACTGAAGCTCATCAGCCCAGCTCATTCGTGTTCTTGAAGTGGCCAGCGTGCACCAGCGGCTGCTCTCCACGCTCACCTTAGTGTTCTGTTTCCTGGGCTGGTTATAATGCCCAAGGGGCAGGAGGCTGCAGCTTGGGAGCCTGTGGCTGCACAATAGCATTTGCAGGCCTCCAAAATACTTTAGTTTGAGATGGGTTGAAGTAGGAGTTTAATTCCAAGAACTTCGGGCGAGGAGCAGCAGCTAACCTGTGGGGCTGAAGCTGGCAAAGGCAGAGATAAAGGTAACATTGCCTCTGCCCACAGAAATGAGCGGCCCTATGTTTGCGAGTTCTGCCACCACGCCTTCACGCAGAAAGCCAACCTCAACATGCACCTGCGCACGCACACCGGCGAGAAGCCCTTCCAGTGCCACCTCTGCGGCAAGACCTTCAGGACACAAGGTACCCTCTGGGCGCGCGGCTGGGGCTGCTGGTGCTGAGCACCGTGCTCCGGCATCCGGAACCTCCAGAAAGCAGCCATGCTGCAAAACCCACCTTCTTCTGCCCGCTTCCTCCGGGGAGCAAAGCCACACTCTTGGGAGCGCACACTAACACTGAGGAAGGCAGGTTCCCGTTACCTCCATTACCCTCATGGCATAAAAGAGGAAGAAATTGATGAGTTTTCCCCAGTAACAGTTCACCTGAACCAGCAGGCTGCTGATTTTACTGCTTCTAAGCCTTCCTAACCAGCCTGGCACAGAGCGACCGCACCGCACGCGTGCAGTCTTTGCTGCGGCATGGCTTGTACCTGAGCCCCGCGACAGGGGCATGTGCTGCGCCGCTGACCGGCGGCTCTCCCCCTCTCTCCCCCTGCCAACGGCAGCGAGCCTGGACAAGCACAACCGGACCCACACTGGGGAGCGTCCCTTCAGCTGCGAGTTCTGCGATCAGCGCTTCACAGAGAAGGGGCCCCTGCTGAGGCACATTGCCAGCCGGCACCAGGAGGGGAGGCCCCACTTCTGCCAGATCTGTGGGAAAACATTCAAAGGTAATGGCCAGGGCATCGAGCTTTCACACGGCTCTTTAGAAACTGCCCTCCTTTCTGTGGTGCAGCTTTGCGTCGCCGCGAGCATCTACCATGTGGTGCTGCTGCCAACAAGCTCTTGCTTCCTTCCTCAGCTGTTGAACAGCTGCGCGTCCACGTCCGCCGGCACAAGGGTGTGAGGAAGTTCGAGTGCACTGAGTGCGGCTACAAGTTCACGCGGCAGGTGAGGCCTTCCCAGGCTCTGGCAACCCCGGCAGCGTGTGCTGTGCCAGGGGAGCCAGCCCCCACCGGGCCCCTCATCCTGCGTCTTCCTTTTGCAGGCTCACTTGAGGCGCCACATGGGGATTCACGACCGGGTGGAGAACTACAACCCCCGGCAGCGGAAGTTGCGGAACCTGATCATCGAGGACGAGAAGGCCGTGGTGGTGGCACTGCAGCCGCCGCCAGAGCTGGACGTGGGCTCGGCCGAGGTGATCGTGGAGTCCTTGTCCCGCGGCACCCTGCCCGAGGAGCTCCCTGTGCAGAGACTCTGCTCGAACGAGAACTTCTCTACAGCGGATGTGATCGAGCAATCACTAATTATAACGACGACGATTCCCGAAGACTGTGAAACATAGCGTGACCGCCTGCGCGCGTCCTTCCTACCAAAACACAATAAAGCATTGGGCTGGAGCTGCTCTCTGCTGCGCTTGTTCTTTCTGAGTTGTGCAGCTGCCCCTTCCCTTCCTCCCCACAAAGCTCCCACCCCAGGTTGCAGGGAAATGAAGTTATAATCGGGTCACAAATGAAGAAACAAATGTGAAGCTATTCAGAATGGCTACTTAAATAAACATACGTGTGCTGTATGAGGCAGGATGTGACTGCTGACTTGGTGTGTGTAATACTGTGAATCACTTTTTAACGAGCTCTCCTTTGCGGCTGGAGGGACAGCTGGTGCTCGCCTCCCCTTTCCTCCAGTGCTCTGGCCTCGCGCAGGCAGTTCTGCCTTTTGAGTCTGAAAGCTCATGATTAAAGCTTACCTTCCCCAAGAGAGTGTGGCTCTGCCCCTTTCCTTAAACACTTGCTGAAAGGATTGTCTCCTCCGTTAAATTTGTGCCTTATTTCTACTCTGTTTTGTCAAACTTCTGGTAATTGCTCTTTCTTTACCCTGTTAAAGGCAGGGCATGACCTGCATCTTCTCACTATTGAGATAATGTAGCTGTTTGGTAACTTGAAACACATTATCTCCAGGAGCTGGGCAATGCTCTCAGCTCTTGTTCTTAGGTGTGGGGATTTGTACTTGTCTGAAATATGAGGATCCGGGGTTGCTGTGATGCTGAGAACCTTTTTCTGAGTATTCCCAGGGTGGGGGAAGATCACAGAGTACCCACGTGCCCTGAAATCCCGGCCACGCTCTCTCCCCTTTCCCTCTTTTACTCACCAAGGAGGCAGAAAGTCTCCAGGTTAAACGTACCTCAGCCCTAGAAACTTCAGTAATCTTCCCTTCAAAGATGACAGCGAGATTTACATAACGTGTTTTATTTAACTTGACTGCTGCAAGTAAATTTAAAAACAAACTATGAGAATAAAAATACAATATCTGTAAATGTAAAATGCCTTTGTTTCAAAGGACGGTATTTAAACTGTACTCAGAGATTCAGACACAATGAATTTTACAAAAAAATAAATACAGATCCGTAACTGTTCAGCCGGTTGGGGAATTCAGGGGTGGCAGGTCTAGCAGCGAGCACTACAGTATGAGACAGGGTGTGCGTACTATTTATAGTTCAGCGTAAATACTTCGGTCTGCAATGCAAGTTCAGCTGCGTGGCGTGCACCGTCTCTCCCCGGGCACGACACGGCGCCGTGGGGACAGGCTGCTTTAGCCTCACGGGTCGACATGGCAGGATGCAGCCAGAAACGAAGGAGCCGCCCCAAATCACAGGCCCCCTGCATGTCCCCTCCACCCAAGAGGGGCCCCCCCTGCACCCCAGCCCGTGGCAGCGCCGGAGAGGGTTTTAAACCCAGAGGCTGCCGTGGCCAGATGAGGCCCCTCCGCGATCCTCCACCGGTACATGGCAGTTTCAAGGCACTGTCAAAGTTTCAGACCTGGAGAACAGCCCAAATTTCATGAACAGCTTTCCCAAGTTCCACAGCTGAGGAGCGTGGCATAAAACAGCACTGAAGGCAAAGAGCTTTTTTTAAAGCTGTGAAGGTGCTGATGTTGTGGAGATGGGGCTCTGACACTACTCAATCCAAGGGCAAGCCAGAAGGCAGGCGTGCAATCAAGTAGACGGGCTTTCCATCTCTGAAATAAGTTCAATTTTCTTTCCTATTGATTAAAAATGAAAGATGGAAAAAGCAAGCGCATCCAGCCAACACCTCAGCCGTTGTCACACTTTACACTTTTCCAAAAGGCACGATGCTCATTTTTGGGTGAGCCATACTGCAGTTTTAGCCGTTTTCTTGTTCAAGAAACATTCCACAAGTAAACTGCTTCTCTTCAGCTAAGGTAGACAGAGGAAACACAGCCCAAGCTAATGAGGTCACCTGGGCGAGTATAAAGGCAAATCTTACACAGGCCAAAAAAAACAGCAAACCCCAAGCAAAAAGAAGAAAAAAACCCAACCCTAAAATAACTACCTTTCAGTCCTCAACACTGGCTAACTCCTACACCTTCACCCAAATCCCGAGAGCTCCTGCAAACTGGAGGCACGACAGGCACGAGACCCCTCCGAAGGTCTGGTGGGTTCCTTCACACAAGGCAATGCATTTGAAAGCAATTCTGCATCAAGGTATCTAAACACAGCCAGCAATTCTGCAAGCCTGCAGTGAATCTCCTGAGGAAGCTGCACTCGCCTTTCCCAGTAAGTTTTTTTTTTTTCCTAAAACAGTACAACGCTGACTTAGCTCCTTCAAAATGGTGAAGAAATAAAAACTCGCCCTTGCTGCATGGGGCCTATCTGCCCAACCCAGCGTGCTGACTGAGAGTTTGGCACAGGAGAACCAGCAGCAAACAGCCCTCGCCACAAGCAGCAGCTTTTTCTGCCTAGTTCAGCCCCACTATCAACAAGTCCAATGACACCGGGAAGGGAGAGTGGCTCCTCGGGCCAGCCAAGAGGGGTACTCGCTTCTCCCCTTCCCCTAACAGGAGGGTGCAGCTGGGGTGATCAGAAATGAAAATAATCTAGCTGTGAGAATGCAATTAAAAGATAAATAAGGGTGCTTCTTCTTGGAAGGAAAAAGCGCGCTACTAGGAAGGGTTGGAAAACAAACACCTGCAGAAGTTTAAATGCTGCAACTTAAAAAACCCCCACCAAAATACAGGAAGAACTGAGCTTCGGACAACGGGAAAGGTGAAACTTCATAACCCAGCCTTGGCGAGATCCCTGCTACAGGACGTCTGTTCCTTCTGAAGGCATGAACGGGGACTGAGGACCACGGTGACAGGGCAGGAGGGGCCATGTTCTCATATTAACCTCTCGCCCCTAACAGACCTCCAGCTCTTGTGGGAAGGCCTTTCCCCCCCTCTAACCACACAGAGAAAGACGCGCGCAGGAGGTCCGTCTTCCTCTGAAGCACAGAACAGAGGTGGGCGTCCCGACCACCGTCCTACCAAAAAAGAAACTGAAGAAGGTTTGGTGGCAAACGAAGCATTACAGGGTGAAGGAGCTCCCAGCAAAAGGCGTCTGACCAAAAGCTGTAAGCTGCAATGCTGCAGTGACATTCAGCGCGATTGCTTTCCTCAGAGTTCACCTCTTGGGTCTCCTCTGCAGGCAGTGCAGCACCTTCTCCTGCCCCAGAGGAGGGCCGAGGGACGCCGCAGTGGAGGCCTCGCTGTCTGCCGGCTGTGGTTCCGCAACAGCACGTCAAACATTAGGAGTTTTCACTCCCTCTCTGAACAGTATGTTTTTGTTTCCAAGCACCGGTTTGCCTCTGCCTTCTCTCAAAGCAACGCTGGTTCTGGATAATGAACTCGCGGTGAGCCAGGGGAACAGTGCCTTCCCCTGCTAACGAAGCTCGTTAAGGTTCTGGTTGTGAAGGTTTTGGTGCTGCCTGTTCAAGTTGATGGTGTTGTCCAGTGTGATGCCATCATCCTCCTGTGTGGTTTCCGGCATGAACTGCCGGAATATGCTGACGCTGCCATGCCAGAAGATGGGCTCGGGCAGTCGGCCCACCACGCTCCACGTTCGCGTCTCAGGGTCGTAGGCTTCCACGACATCCGAGAGTTCAAACGTGTTATCGTAGCCGCCAGAGACGTAGAGCTTCCCGCCAAGCACAGCCACGCTCCCCCCAACGTGAACCTACAATTTAAAAATAAATATACGCAACAGTTAGACAGGAGAGTTTTGCCCAATTAGACAGATGACAAAGGTGTCGGGTACTGTCCCGCAACTGCTCACTTGGACGGGGCTCAGCGCCCACCAGCTGCTGACTCTGGCTCTCAACCAGCGTTGCCCAACTGCCAGGAGGAGAGAGCGTTTTCTAGCTTTGCCCAGCTCTTGCGTGCTGGGCTGAGCACCCGACTACGCAACCGCAGTCTGGGATTTTTTTCTACCAGGTGACTGTGAGATGCTTAAATGCACTCTGTGTGCAAGGGGTTATCATCTAAAGAGCACCTGTTTTTTCCAAAGGTAAATTACGCTGGTTTTTAACACTAATAGGCAGCCGGTAGCTCAGTAAGCGTCCTACCTGAAGCATGGCAGGGATTTTATCCCATTCATTCTTCGCTGGATTGTAAACGTCCACTTCAGCTGAGTCGTCTCTGTGGGAGATAACACAAATTACTCTTCTGCATTCTAAAAACCTCCCACCTTGTGAAGCCCCCAGTTCAACAGCCTGAAATGCTGCCATAAGCACTTCTGCTCCAATTCCACTACGTAGATTAGAGACCAGAGGGTTCCTGTACGAAGGTGCAGGTCTCGATGCGGACCCCAGCCTCCAGCGTGGGCTTCTCCTGTGCCTGCAGTGACATTCAACCCCAGGAAATGCCTGGACTTCTCCGCTGCACCCCTAACCCACGAAGCAGGCTGGCACAGACATTGCGCCCGTACCACATATTAGCGCAGGAGCACGTCTCATTCTCAGTGCCAGTGACCTACATCCAGAGAGCCCACGCGCCCCTTCTGAGCTTCTCTACAGCCAAAGCAACGCACTCTATACTTTCTGGTGTATGCCAAGTTTCAGGATGCCGCCTAGGTGGGATGGCAGACAAGACAACCAGAGATAGAGCAAGTTGACAGCATGCACTGTTTTCTGCCTGCCTAAGCTGGTCGCTCCAGCCGAGATGGCAGGGCGAGCTGCTCTGGACTGCATGCCCCACTCGGAGTCCAGCACACAGCTACGCCACTGCTGGGTCAGAAATGGCTCCACAATCGCAAGGGCTTTTTCAAATCTAGTCCTTTTTTTTTTTTTTTTTTTTACATCTACATCTATGGTAGGTGTGTTCACAGACTAACTTTCTGCAAGCCTGCATTTCACAGACTGATCTGATCTGGCTTTGGTGCCAAGTCTTCAGGGTCTGGAAGAAAAATGACTGCTGTTCTGGAGAGGCTTAAACCTCCATGCACTTCCAAGTAATGGCATCCCTACTGCTTGAGTTTTTTGCCAGTGCCAAATTTAGATGGGCCATAGGACTGCGAGAGAAGAGCTGGCGGGGGCAGTGTAATCCCCCAAGGCTTCTCTTGCCCGCTCTGCTCGCGAGGCAGGAGGGCGACAGTGACAGGTGAAGGATGTTCACAACGCAGAAATGCGCGCTGCTGACCCAAGAACACGAGGACGACAAGGTCAGGGCAGCTGGAGAAGTGCTGTCAGTCACTCCAAGACAGTCCTGTTAGGGATGGATTCAAAAGGCTGCGAGGAATATTTTATTGTCTTTGTATCTATTGTGACATCGCATATTGTCATGCGTCGTGCAGGTGACAAGGTATCACTATCGATTGCTGACGTGAATCTGAGCAGGGAAGGGAATGAAAATAAATGAGAAATCTCACCTACACCAGCAGCGTCTGTTTAGCAAACATTACATCAGAAATCCACCTGCAAAGCCTGTGGTGAAGCCAAGGTGCGTGCCATGGGGCTTTCTGGTTACGCTCTGGACAAGCGTTCCTAAGGTACCCATACAATACACACTTTGAAACCAGTTTCTTCAGTTTGAGTTACTTTTGTGATGTACCTTTAACTGAACCAATATTCACCTGAACGAAACATCCTGAGTGCAGGCACATGTAAGCGAGCGCTCCAAGCCCCACAGAGCTGCACTAAGACCAACCTTTCTTCCTCAGAACTGCTCAGAACCAAGAGCCGGTACCTGCCTTAGCACACAGCGCTTGGGAGCTAAATGCTGCTACAAAGCCATTTGTACCTGGAGGAAGTGCTGCTGTTCACAACGCTTCCCGTAACTAACAGAGCAGCAGGTGAGTCAAATACTTCCAAGTATGAAGCTGAAAACCCCGACGGACTGGAAGGGAAACAAGGGGCAAAGCTCTAGGCATGCAGTTCCAGGCACTGGTGACAGGCAGGCCAGGACCTCCTCTCCTGTCTCAGGGTTAGCTCAAAGAAGGATACAGCTGAAGACCTAAGCCTCGTTGCTGTGCCATATTTATAGTTATAAAACTAGTCCCACTAGAGGGGATCATCAGTCAGAAGCTTTAGTCTGAGCTATTTAAAACTAACCAAAAAATGAGTTTGCGACCTCTATTCGTAACCTATTCCTCTGTCCTCCAAAGATTATCTCACAGCTTTACACAGAGCAGCAGCCCATGTGCAGCACGTGAAATGAGGGGAGGAAAAACCTGACCCTGATCATCTCCTCATTAACTCCTGCAGAGGCGTAAGTGATCAGAAATCCTGAAGTGTCAATCATCAGTATCTTAAAAAAGATAAGAAAAAGGAAAACCTTTAGAACCCGCTTGTGACAAGTGGCCGAACAGCTAGAACACCCCTGCCAGTCTTTACTGAAAAGCAGGTGACTCAAACTGCTACCTGCAAACAATGGCCAGGAACCAAGACACTCGGCTGAACCCAAATGAATCAAATAAAAGGTCCTGGGTAGAAGTTGCTGTGTTATGCAAAGCCAAGAGGAGACTAAAAAAAGAAAAGTGTCTGGAGGCCATCGCAGAAGTCTATGTTTGCTCAAAGTCAACACAACAAGATGAAATGCTTCAGTGCTAGCATGCCTTTCAGTTTATTTTTAATTAGGTGGATAACCAAAGTATTTGCACCACCAGGACAGCTTCAGATGGGTAATTAACTCCCAATTTGGAAAGGCGCTTAAAAATAGTGACCAATCATTTCATCTTCGGTCCTCTTATCTCCGCTGAGACGGAGGATGTCCTCCCCTGGGCTACAGTTTAACGCTTTCTTGGAGCTTACTCGCTTATTTATAGCAACAAGGGGGGTTGAACCAGAAGCCAAGAAAACTGAGAAGTCTATTTCCAAGCAGCACTGCTGCTGACTTCAGCCAGATTTAGACCTGGCTATTCCCCAGCCTGTGGGTTTAGATTCAGACATTTTTACAGAATTTTAAGTGTAGTTCTTTGAGGTCCAGCTACAACAGAAGTAAAGCGAAGAGGTGTGGCAGTTTACAGACCCACCTGGACCATCAGAGGAAGCACTGCTGTGCTTTCCCAACGCAGTGCTCTTCCTGCAACCACCCACAAAATCTGCATGCCTTCCCGGGGAAACCCTGGGCTTGCCCAGCAGGGGCATGGGGAGGGAGGTTATTGCTCCTGCTACTCACCTTATGAAGTACATGAGGCCGTTGAGAGTGACAGTCTTTGGGGCGAAGGACCAGGGAGGCAGGTGGCCGCAGTTCACGAGGGACCAGAGGTCGCTGTCAGGGTCATAGCACTGCATAACCATGGACTCTTTGCCAGCCAGGGAGCCTATGGCGAACAGCTTGCCGCGGCACGAGGTGGTGGAGCAGTTGTCCATGGGGTACAGCATGGGCTGCAGAGCCTCCCAGCTGTCCACCGAGTGGTCGTAGCGCTCCGTGCTGTCGGAGGCGATCACGTACAGCAGCCCGTCCAGGACTGTGGAGCTGTGGTATTCTCTGGCTTTCAGCATGGGAGACACCTCTGTCCACTCGTTCACGCTGGAATTGTACCTCCAGACGCAGTCGTACAGCCTTGACCCATCCGATCCCCCTGCAGCACAGCACGCCACATGTCAAAGTGTGGTTTCGCAAAGGGAAATACTACAGGGCGATGGAGGAGACTGGGGACAGGGGACTTTGCTATGTCTTCCAGCTGCACCTTCTTAATACCTACACGCACTTTTTCCTTCCCAGGGCCATACATTATGAAAATATTTCAGTGCTGGGGTACCACAGTAGCGTATGCTGTGAGGACTTTAACAGAAGTTTTGCACTGTTTCTTTCCCAGCAAGCCTGGAAGGATTTCTCCCGTGTCACTCCTAGTCTGTACTCAGCCAGACTCAAAATGAGTCTCCCAGGTTTGACTAGCTCCGTCCCTCCAAACAACCGTTTTCTTCCCTGTTTTGCAACCCTTGCTGCATTGCTGTCCAGAAACTGCCGAGACTAACGCTCACCAGCGCCCAGCTGCCAAGGCAGCATTATCGCCGGCAGTACAGAAACCTTCCAACCCTCCCTCCCCACTACCCATGCTACGATGCTGACACTAAGCAGAACAACTGAAGATCCCTGCCAGCAGTGGCCTTGCTGAAGCACGGAGCTCTCGGCAGTATCAGTGCCCCCAGAACTGGCCGGGATCGCTCCAGAAAGCTCCCACGGGACATAAGGGCATCCATGGTAGCCCATCCTTTTTAGAACTCTGCCCTTAAAGCAGAGCCTTGTTTTCTGCTCGTGACTAGAGAATGAACAGTTTCCTGTTCACCTGCATTTGACCTGCCCTTCAAATCTTTGTCAGCACGTCCTGCACACCCAGAGCAAGCTGTTCTGCAGCACCTTGTTTCCCAGGCCCTGGTTTGTTATGGCTGCCGCAGGGCTGCCAGTCCAGCTACGGGGATGTGCTTCAAAGGAGGCATCTACATGCAGATTAACAGCCGAATTTACACATCCATGTCACCTTGACAGAAGTAATTATAGCCCCAGCGGACTGCGAGGAGGCAGCATTTGTGCTGAGGAAGGTACCGTGACTCATAGGCGCTGGCTGGCTGAGGAACCGGGGGCTTTCTGACGCGCCTCTGCCTCGAGCACGCGCTTGGCTTGTGATTCACAGATTCTGAACCCAAACACCATCTTCACAGCCAGAAATTCAAAACCCTCTCAAGTCACTCCTGTCCCCCAGCGCGAGTGGTTAGAAAGTTCTACCGGTGCAAGATCTGTTACTTCTGCCCACGTGCTCAGGAGCATTAGTCACGACAAAATACCTCCCGGACTGAGACCCGCTGCTAAATTCAGCACGAACTCAAGGAGTCCCTACACCCGCCTTCAGGCTGCAGTCATACTGAGCCCGAGCAGAGTTTCAAACTCTCTGCTACCCCGAGAAAAGCCAGGTCTCGCTGTTAGAACCTGTGTATTTTCAATGGAAATCTCAGCAGCGGTGCTTTCATACCCTGCACGCCTTACCGGTGACATAGATGTCGTTGCCCAGTGCGGCGACGCTGTAGCCCCCACCCAGGTGCTCGGGGAACTCGGCCAGGTAGCGCCAGTGGCCGGTGCGAGGGTTGTAGCAGTCAACGGTGACGAGCTCGTCGCAATCGCGGTCGCAGCCACCAACGATGACGAGGATCTCGGCCAGGCCAGTGGAGGGCCGGGGGCGCATGCGGGCGCAGGGCCCCCGGTCATGGCGGTCGAGGCGGGCGGCCTGGAAGTCACGGGCCTCACGCAGGAGACGCAGGCAGGGCGGGCAGCGGGCTACCAGCGGCTCGCCCTCCACGTGGGCCAGCAGGTAGAAGCGGCGCACAAAGGGCAGGCGGACATGGGCCAGGAGCTGGGGCAGCAGCGGGGCGCGGGCAGCGGGGTCGGCACGCACCCAGCGCAGCGCCAGCTGGAAGGCAGCCTCCTCTTTGGGGACACAGAGCCCGTCGTCCCGCAGGTAGGAGAGGAGGCGCGGCAGCGGCAACCTCTCCAGCTGGGCGCCCAGCTCACCCACGTGCCGTAGGACGAAGCGGTGGGCGGCAGCCGCCAGCGCCGGGCAGGCGAAGGCCTCGGCGAAGTCCTGCATGTCCAGGGCGTTGGCGGGCTCCAGTTGACGTGCCAGCCAGGCGCCGCAGGCCTCCTTGACGGCAGGGAACTGCAGCAGGTCAGCGGCGCGCAGCAGGCGCTCGGCGATGTCAGGGCCCAACCCGCCCACCCGGCCGGTGTAGGCGAAGTCGAGGAGGCGCGCCAGGCACTCGGGCTCCACGCCGTGCAGCCGTACCCGCTCGGCCCGTGCCTCCCGCAGCGCCCCACCGAACATGGCGCGGAAGTAGCCGGAGGCGGCGGCCAGGACGGCGCGGTGCGCCCCGAACTCCCGGCCACCCGCCACCACCGTCACATCCAGCAGGCTCCGCTCCGCTCGCAGCGCACTCAGCCCCCGCAGCAGCGACACCGCGTGTGCCGGCTCCCCCGTCGCCGCCGTCTCACCACCGCTGCTGCCTGTGCTCGCTGCCATGCCGTGCCTGTGGGAGAGCACACGCTGCGTCACGCCCTGCGTGGAGCCCCTTCGGGTTCAACCCTGAGAGCAGCTTGCAGGACAGAAAAAAGGAAAAGAAAAAAAAAAAAGAAAAGAAAAGGTGGGTTAGCACAGGGAAAACCATCCTCTGGCTGGGAAGTGGGATAAACTAAACAGCCCCGGAAAACATCCTCCTTCCCCCGTCACGGAGGAGCGGGGGTTGCATAACAAGCTGGTGCTGCCAGCAGCCTCCCCTGCTTAGTCTAATTATATTTTTAAGAAGCCCGTGTTGAAGCTGCCCAGGATTACGGCAGCCTCACAAGAGCAGGGCAGAGCTTTGTGAACCCAACACCTTCACGAATGTCGCGCCCAAGCCCCCAGCGCCTCGTGTCGCGGATAGGGTGCCCAGCGGGAGCAGCCCCCGCCGCTCTTTGAGGTGGACAGCGGGGTCTTCCTCGAAAGCGAGGTGCCGAGGGAGGTGTTCCCGGGAGGCACGCTCGCTGACCGCCCCAGCCTAAGTTACCGCAGGCAAGGCTCGGCTGCGTAAAAGCGGAGAGCTCCAGGGTTTTGGCCAAACGCGTTACGGCTGGTGTCCTGCCAGGCTGCCCGTCCCCGCTCGCTCCCAGTCAAAGGGACACCGGAGGAATAAAGCGCTTTCGCCTGCGCTGCACTCGTGCCCTTGGCAGCCTCCGTGGGCGGGCGGGCAGCGGGACTCCCGCTCCGCGAAGAACGGGA